TGTGGTAACTCATAGAAGATCAAGAACTCCACTGAGGGGCAAACCGTCTGAACGTCAGTTTCACCAGAGACGTCAGAACCATTATTCTCGGTTAATCTGAAACTAAAGGTTATTTTTTTCCTTAAAATAAAAAAAGGATATACTTACCTGCTCTGTGCAATGATATTGCACGAAACAGTCCCTTACCTTCCCTTCTGGAAGTCCCACTTCAGCGCTGTCTACTTCTTGCTGCAGGTGCCTCCTTACCATTCAGCTTGCTATGGGGACATACGTGCGCACTCCCGAGCTGAACTGTGCGCCTATAGACACACAGCATCACCGCTCTCAGTGTGTCCCATGAGACAGAAGTGGGAGGACAGATGCTACAGCCAGGACAGCAGTGGTATATGTTTAGAGAGGGGGTAGAACAGTCAATTAAGTGTTTTTTATTGTAATGCAGGGAATTCATCAACCACTTGCCCTCCAGAGGATTTACCCCCTTTCCTGACCAGGCCATTTTTTGCGATACAGCGCTGCGTTACTTTGACTGACAATTGCGCGGTCATGCAACACTGTACATAAATGAAATTTATGTAATTTTGCCCCACACAAATAGAGCTCTCTTTTGGGGGTATTCTATCACCTCTGCATTTTTTATTTTTTGCGTTATAAACAATTTTGAAAAAAAAAAAATTTTTTACTTTTGGCTATAAAACATATCCAAAAAAAAAAAAGTCATAAATTTAGGCCAAAATGTATTCTGCTACAGCTTTGCTAAAAAAAAATCCCACTACGTGTAAATTAATTGGTTTACATGAAAGTTATAGTGTCTATAAATGGTGGTATATATACTGGAATTTTTTTTTTTTTTTTTTTTTTACTAGCAAAGGCGGCGATCAGCGACTTATAGCGTGACTGCCATCCCCAGTGACACTAATACAGCAGTGCTACTAAAAAACACTGACTGTACTAAAGACACTGGGCAGGAAGGGGTTAACATCTGGGGCTATCAAAGGGTTTAACTGTGCATTTCAGAGTGTGTGTGTGTGTGTGTGTGTGTGTGTGTTACTAGGGAGACATGCTGTTTTGTATCTCTCTGCTGTGCAGAGAAATACAAAGCAGCATGTCCTTGCTGACAGGAGAGAGACCTGTGTTGTTTACACACAGGCCTCTCCCCTGTCAGCTTTCCCCAGCGATCACAGAGTGCAGGCAGGGAATCGCCGTCCAGGACCCAGTGAATGACATCACTAGCCACCAATAGCAGCGTACACCCCCTACCCGGAGATGCAAATCATGTATGTATGTATGTATGTATGTATGTATGTATATATATATATATATATATATATATATATATACATACATACATACATATACACACACACACACACACACACACACACACAGACATGATTTTGTGCAGCCCTGACGCCCTTTAGCAGCATCCTATATAGGGCAGCGGGCAAGCGTTTAAGGTAAAATCCATTTGGACTTTAGAACCACTGTAAACGCTAAAAACTGATGACCTAGGGCAGGAATCTCAAAACTTTCCAAAGAACTAACTAGTTTACGGTCATTCAGACATTAGGGGGGCGGGCTGTGCCCAGTGGGAGTAAACAATGCCCAATCTTTGGTATTCGGGAGAAAAATAGTTGGTGCCAGAGGTGCCCCGTTATTACTGTCAGTGGAAGGAATTATGCCCCATTGTTTGTGTTAGTGTCAGGAATAAGGCCTTAAGGGCTGGATTTTGCAAGCAAAAGGCAGCGGTTTGGATACCACAGCACTAGGGTACGTCGGCATTACCAAATTCAATTTTTTTTTTTTTTGCATTTTAAAAAAAGTGCCAACATCTAAATGAAAAAGACAAGGTAATGAGAACGTTGCGTGCATACAGCCAAAAATCAGTTACATAAGTCCTGGGATGTATGTTTGAGTTGGATGTATTATTCTGAGGAAATCCCAGACGAATGAGCCTTTAAAAGCCCATGGGACCCACTGGTCTTTATGGTCCCCCCAAAATGTTAGCTTTGATTGGGCTCTCTCATCGGTTTTCCCATATAGAACTATAGGCTTGCCTATTATGCAATCCAATTCATACTCACACACCTAGATGCGATCCCTTAAATTTGCTGTGGACATATTTCCCAGGGAACTTTTTTCTCAGGTTAAAGAGTGCATTGTTTGCGTTTTTCTTTTCGCTTTTTGTATTCTGAGATTTAGAAGATACTGTAGGCTACATTGTATGTGATTGGGATGAAACACTTACGACCTGTGTTTCAGATGTCAACTTGTTGATCATGTTTTATATGCTGGATCACAATTCTATGTACAGTTTTTTCTGTACTGTAAACCTTCAATAAATAGCCGATTTAAAAAAAGGTGGTTTTGCATTATGCCATATGAACATTTAGTTGAGGATATCCCTAGGTGGTCTGTACACACACTGAAGCATGACCCTTTTAAATATTTGTGAAAGTTTTTAACCACTTCCCGACTATATAAACGGCCAGACGATGGCACTGCAGGGTCGGGTGGCCGCGGACACAGTGAAACACCGATCGGACGGGACCTCTGTACGAGGGCCCCATCATGTGATCCCTGATTGGCCAATCAGTGATCACATGCAAAGTAGTAAGCAAGATGTCACTTCTGACATCATTGCTTACTACGTGTGAAATCTGTGAATGATCACAGAGGTCACATGGTACAAGGCTATTCACAACAGCCTTGTACCATGTGACAAGCTGTGACCAATCACAGCTCACTCAGTAGTTCTCAATGGCTGCAAGAATGCAGACAGAGAGAAAGAGAAATGATTGCTTTTACATCCTATATGGGTGTAAAAGCAATCCGTGTAAAAAAAAAAAAAAAAATATCTTCATCACTCCCCAAACTTAGTACAGTGTCACCATGGTGACACTGTACTGCTAGGGTGACAGTATGTAAAAAAATATATATATATAAAAAAAAAAAAAAAAAAAAAAATGTAAAAAAAAAAAAAAAGCTTAAAAACTATAATTTTTGGTTATAAACTAATTTGGCCTATTTTTTTTTTTTACTAAAAAGATAACGGAATAAATTTTGGCTTAGATTTATGATGAAATATTTATTTGCAAAATTTTATAAGAAAAACACTTTTTTTCAAAATTTTTGAACATTTTCATAGCAAAAAAAATAAAAATCCCAGCGGTGAATAAATATCACCAAAATAAAAGTTTTATCTGTCTCAAAAAAATGGTAAAAAAATTAATATGGGTACAGTATTGCATGACCGCGCAATTGTCATTCAAAGTGTGATAGCGCTGAAAGCTGAAAATTGCCCTGGACAGGAAGGGGGTGAAAGTGTTCGGACTGGAAGTGGTTAAACATATATAAAATAGGCAACATGATCAGAAAGGTTTAGTGAAAAAAAACAGTTACAAAAGTGGAACTTCACTCTCTCAATGGACATTGACAATTTTTAATTCTTACGCTGCTAGCATTAGTAAATAGATAGGAATGTAGAGCCTATTTACTTTACTGGTTTACATTTTTTTTTCCTTACATTTCTTCGGAGTAACATCATCTCGGCTCAGCCAATCAAGAGGCCAGAGCCCACGAACCTAAACAGTAGACCGGGTGAAAATGGAAGCCCTGTCAGCGGTGACAGAGCGCCACTGGGAGGGATTTGATCTAACATATATTTTTTTTGCTGGTTTACTACCGCTTTAAAAGCAGAGCATAGAGGGTTATTGTTCCATATTAAATTATGGAAGAGATAAAAAAAGAAGCGTAGTGGGAAGTGTACAAAAATTAAAAAAGGTATACCCAAGCAAATAGCCTACCTAAGAAACCATCAACTGTGCTATACACGTTACCATGCACACCAGAGTGACAGTAATAATTCTAGGTTACCTCTAAACTATTGGCTTTAAAGTGAAAGTTTTTGTTTTGTTTTTTTTTTAAAACAACAAAATATGTTAAATCTGCTCTGTGCAGTGGTTTTACACAGAGCAGCCCTGATTATCATCTTCTTGGGGCCCCCACCAACGCTCCTGGCCCCTCTCTCCTGTCGGGTGCCCCCATAGTAAACAGCTTGCTATGGGGGCAGCAGAGCCGGTGCGCTCCCAAGCCACAGCTCTACATGCCCATTCACATATACAGTCGCGGCTCAGCCTCGCCCCCTCCTGATTGGCTCACTGGCTGTGATTGACAGAAGTGGGAGTCAATGGCTCCCGCCGCTGCCTCAGCCAATTAGGAGTGAGTCCACAGAGAACCGAGGCTCTCATGGACATCGCTGGATCGGGATAGGGCTCGGGTAAATGCTGCGAGGGGCGGGCAAGACTGATACACAGATTTTTTTATTGTCATGTAAAGAATGCATGAAGGTAAAAAACCTTGAAACTTTACAACTAGTGGTGCACCGAAATGAAAATTCTGGTGGTGAAACCGAAAAATCATCATTCATGTGGCCGAAAACTGAATCGAAATGTCTGCATATGTGGGGAGGCTCCAATTTTTAATCGTATTTTTTTCTACTTTCATGTATATATTTTTTTTTTTTTTTTACTTATGATTTTATTGCTATGTGATATCATATGAATGACAGGTCCTCTTTGTAGGGGGAGGAGGAACAGTGTGTGCAAGGAGGGGGCAGAATAGGAGCAGTGTATACAGTGACTGAGCAGTATATACAGAGAGGCTCCATCACTGGCTGTCACTATATATCAGAGCTAAAGGAAACATTGTTTCTTATCTCGGGAAATAAAACTAAAAAGGAAACTTTCTTTTAACTCTGGGAAAGAAACTAAAAGGAAACTTTCTTTTAGCTGGGAGGAAAGTGACAACTAATTTTGCGAGCTATAGTGAAGAAAAAAAAAAAGCCGGTAATTACATTTAAAAACCGACACTGACATATAGTGACAGCAAGTCACTGTATACACTGCTTCTCAGCCTGTATATGCAGTAAAACATGCTTGTTATACTCACTGTGGAACCTAAGGGGTTAATCCTCTGCATTGTGTAAAAAGGCTGTTTGAGAATTTCTTCTCTGCCCCTCCTTGTTGAAATGACCACCTGATACAGACTGAACCCGTGGTCACATGCACACGCTCAGGTTGGTGTGTATTGCTAAAGTTTGTTTTTTTCTTGGGAGGGTGCATGTGATCAGCACAGGGTCAATAAGCACTGTCCAGACAGAGGGTCAGGGGTTTCACATCCTCCTAGAGCAGAAAGAAAACTCCTCCTACAAGCTTTAACTAGTTCTCTGCTGAAGTCACAAGACTGCTCTAAGTGCTGATGAGAAAAGGTATTTAGCAGTTTAGATTTACTAAAAAATAATTGCATTTCAATGTTCTATGTACTGTTGGAGACCAGATAAAGTGAATGCAGGGTCCTGGGTTTAGTATCACTTTAAAAGTTTTTTATTTTATTGTCCCTTAATATTAAACAGTGACAAAATGAACAGTATACTAGCAGTTTACAGAACACTTACTGTACCTTACAAGTGTGACCCTTCCACACTGAGTGATCTAGGCTTAACATAGCTGCTGCATCCACCGGTGATGCATTCTCTTCAGCCCCCTCAGTACTTCCCTCTGTGGAGATAAGCTGTCAGTGCCTATGCAGCCAGAGTAGCATTCCAGGGATTTGTAATCCTCACTCTACTCCATCTTCTTTCTCCAGGGCTTCCAGGACAGATCAAAGCCATTCTGATTGGACAGTGCCAGGACAAAAGCATTGTTTTGTGAAGCAACCCCTTAGTGTTACTAAAACCAGGACCCTGCATTCACTATATCTGGTCCCCACAGTATGCAAAAGGAAGAAGGGTCAGCCGCACAACGGAAGATTGATGAATATAGTGTATATTTATTGATCCATAGGACACACAAAACACCAGGACATGAATACAGGACCTGTTAACACGTTTCACACGGTATCATGCTTGCTTAAGATTAAACACGAGATTGTGTGAAACGCGATAACAGGTTCTATATTCATGTCCTGGTGTTTTGTGTGTCCTATGGATTAATATACACTATATTCATCAATCCTCCGGAGTGCAGCTGACCCTTCTTCCTGTTGCACTGTGTGTGGTAGCGATCCAGAGCCTCCACCTGTTGCGGACTGATCTGGATTGTTTGCCTGAGCGATATACAGTGGAGCAAAAAAGTATTTAGTCAGCCACCAATTGTGCAAGTTCTCCCACTTAAAAAGATGAAAGAGGCCTGTAATTGGCATCATAGGTAGACCTCAACTATGAGAGACAAAATGAGAAAAAAAATCCAGACAGACAATCACATTGGCTGATTTGGAAAGAATTTATTTGCAAATTATGGTGGAAAATAAGTATTTGGTGAATATGAAAAGTTCATCTCAATACTTTGTTATATATCCTTTGTTGGCAATGACAGAGGTCAGACGTTTCCTGTAAGTCTTCACAAGGTTGGCACACACTGTTGCTGGTATGTTGGCCCATTCCTCCATGCAGATCTCCTCTAGAGCAGTGATGTTTTGGGGCTGTCGCTGGACAACACGGACTTTCAACTCCCTCCAAAGGTTTTCTATGGGGTTGAGATCTGCAGACTGGCTAGGCCACTCCAGGACCTTGAAATGCTTCTTACGAAGCCACTCCTTCGTTGCCCGGGTGGTATGTTTGGGATCATTGTCATGTTCGAAGACCCAGCCATGTTTCATCTGCAATGCTCTTGCTGATGGAAGGAGGTTTGCACTCAAAATCTCACGATACATGGCCCCATTCATTCTGTCCTGTACATGGATCAGTCGTCCTGGTCCCTTTGCGGAGAAACAGCCCCAAAGCATGATGTTGCCACCCCCATGCTTCACAGTAGGTATGGTGTTCTTTGGATGCAACTCAGCATTCTCTCTCCTCCAAACACAACGAGTTGTGTTTCTACCAAACAGTTGTATTTTGGTTTCATCTGACCATATGACATTCTCCCAATCCTCTTATGGATCATCCAAATGCGCTCTAGCAAACTTCAGACGGGCCTGGACATGTACTGGCTTAAGCAGGGGGACACGTCTGGCACTGCAAGATCTGAGTCCCTGGCGGCGTAGTGTGTTACTGATGGTAGCCTTTGTTATGTTGGTCCCAGCTCTCTGCAGATCATTCACTAGGTTCCCCCCCGTGTGGTCCTGGGATTTTTGCTCACCGTTCTTGTGATCATTTTGACCCCACGGGGTGAGATCTTGCGTGGAGCCCCAGATCGAGGGAGATTATCAGTGGTCTTGTATGTCTTCCATTTTCTAATTATTGCTCCCACAGTTGATTTGTTCACACCAAGCTGCTTGCCTATTGCAGATTCAGTCTTCCCAGCCTGGTGCAGGTCTACAATTTTGTTTCTGGTGTCCTTCGACAGCTCTTTAGTCTTCACCATAGTGGAGTTTGGCGTGTGACTGTTTGAGGTTGTGGACAGGTGTCTTTTATACTGATAACAAGTTCAAACAGGTGCCATTGATACAGGTAATGAGTGCAGGACAGAGGAGCCTCTTAAAGAAGAAGGTACAGGTCTGTGAGAGTCAGAAATCTTGCTTGTTTGTAGGTGACCAAATACTTATTTTCCACCATAATTTGCAAATAAATTCTTTCCAAATCAGCCAATGTGATTGTCTGGATTTTTTTTCTCATTTTGTCTCTCATAGTTGAGGTCTACCTATGATGCCAATTACAGGCCTCTCTCATCTTTTTAAGTGGGAGAACTTGCACAATTGGTGGCTGACTAAATACTTTTTTGCCCCACTGTACCTCTGTTCTTTGGTCTTCCACAGTACACAGAACATGGGAAAGCAATTATTTTAGAAATTTGCTAAATACCTTTTCTCATCAGCAGTATATAGCAGTCTTGTGACTTCTATCAGTGTACGGATGAGCACTGGTTACAGCTTGTAGGAGTTTTCATTCTCCTTTGTCCTATGAGGCTGCATGACCCCTGTCCCTCTGTCTGGACAGTGCCGATTTAACCGGTGATCACATGCAAAAAAAAAAAAAGCTGTACTATCAGCAGATTGATGACTGATGAAGGGGAGGATCCGAGCAGAAAAGATCAAGCCACCTTTTTACACAATGCTGAGGATTAACCCCTTAGATTCCACAGTGAGTAGAACAAGCACGCTTTACTGCATATACAGACTTATTTTACTGTTGTGGGTTTAGTAACACTTTATTACTCACCTATCCCACTGCAATCTCTTACAGAGCAAACTAAGCCTCTGGCAGAAGGTCACATTGGACATATCCAGGAATGTTGGATATCTGTATCCCCACACTGCCTCCTACATCATTACAAGAAACTGTCACATAATGGGTAGTGAGGGGAACCACGGTGCATGGCAGAGGCAAGTAAAAGCTTTAACTTGGATTCGCACAGGCAGTTGATACAGAACAGAACATTGCATCTATTTTGTTGAGGCAACGTTCCTTAGGCCCAAATACTGTCAAAAATGACCTTTCTGCCAGAAAGGGGGACAACATGAGGCAGCAATATGGAACAAAGGCAGCTGTAGCCCAAATGTTCCAAGAAAAGTTCAAACAATTATGGCACATCATACTGCCCTCAGACCAAAAGATATATGAAGCCAGATGTTCTACCTATTATTTTGTTTGCAAGAAAACCTAGAACCTTGCGGTGTTGAGATCCAGGAACCTACGCTGCAATGCACACATACCGACCACAGCGCTACTGTACTTAGTACCATATTCTGTGGAGAGTTCTAGTGCAATCCTGTACAAGAGATATTATGAATTGCTTTCACTGTTTCGAAGATTCTAGAGCGCAGTGTTCCTAGCTAAACTGTCCCCTTAACCCCTGGTTCACATTCGCATTCCTGCAGTCCGCATTTTGCGTGGGCACCAGAGCCCATTCATTTGAATGGACTCCCGTGCCCCGGGACACGCAGGAAAGAAGTCCCTGCACTTCTTCTGAAAATGCAGCCCACACGGGAACCTCGGGTCTCAGTACAGTTGTGATTTCCAGTGCAGGCGGCGTGCCATTAGAATTAATGGCACCCGCCCACGGGTCTGCATTTCTCTGTGTGGGTGGTGGCACAGATTGTTGTGTGGATCCGCAGTGGCACCAACCACACAGATGTGAACCTAGCCTAAAATCACCTGCAGGTTTGGAGAAACCTTTCCTCTGGGAAAACAAGTTACTGGTTTGGGATTCACATGGTTTAAGTGTTCCATGAGGTTCAAAATTTCAGCACATTTGTGAGACTTGCAGTTCCAAACAAGTACAGTGAGGAACAGAAGTATATGAACACCCTGCGATTTTGCAAGTTCTCCCACTTAGAAATCAAGGAAGGGTCTGAAATTCACATTGTAGGTGCATTCCCACTCTGAGACAGAATTTAAAAAAAAAAAAATTCAGGAAATCACATTGTATGATTTTTAAAGAATTTGTCTTGCACTGCTGAACATAAGTATTTGAACACCTGAGAAAATCAGTGTTAATATTTGGTACAGAAGCCTTTGCTTGCAATTACAGAGGTCAAACATTTCCTGTAGTTCTTGACCAGGTTTGCACACACTGCAACAGGGATTTTGGCCCACTCCTCCATACAGATCTCCTCTAGATCTGTCAGGTTTCGGGGCTGTCACTGAGCAACACGGAGTTTCAGCTCCCTGCAAAGATGTTCTATTGGATTTAGGTCTGGAGACTGGCTAGGCCACTCTAGAACCTTGATATGCTTCTTACGGAGCCACTCCTTGGTTATCCTGGCTGTGTGCTTCGGGTCGTTGTCATGTTGGAAGACCCAGCCGCGACCCATCTTCAATGCTCTGACTGAGGGAAGGAGGTTGTTGCTCAAAATCTCACAATAAATGGCCCCATTCATCCTCTCCTTAATACAGTGCAGTCGTCCTGTCCCCTTCGCAGAAAAGCACCCCCAAAGCATGATGTTACCGCCCCCATGCTTCACAGTAGGGATGGTGTTCTTGGGATGCAACTCATCCTTCCTTTTCCTCCAAACACGACGAGTGAAGTTGAGACCAAAAAGTTCTACTTTGGTCTCATCTGACCACATGACTTTCTCCCATGCCTCCTCTGGATCATCCAGATGGTCATTGGCAAACGTCAGACGGGCCTGGACATGTGATGACTTGAGCAGGGGAACCTTCCGTGCAATGCATGATTTGAAACCATGACAGCGTAGTGTTCTATCGACAGTGACCTTGGAAACTGTGGTCCCAGCTCTCTTCATGTCATGGACCAGCTCCTCCCTCGTAGTTCTGGGCTGATTCCCCACCTTTCTTATCATCAGTGATACCCCACGAGGTGAGATCTTGCATGGAGCCCCAGTCCGAGGGAGACTG